CATCGATGTTTCTAACTCTCTATCTCTCTCCCTTCCTCTCTGTAAAAAATCAATAAAATATATTTAAAAAAAAAAAAAGCACAATGAAGCCCTAGCCTGTGTGGCTCAGCTGGTTGGAGTATTGTCCAGTGTACAGAAAGTTCGCAGGTTCAATTCCCAGTCAGGGCACATACCCAGGTTGCAGGTTCAATCTCCGATCTGGGTGCATAAAGGAGGCAACTAATTGATGTTTCTCTCTCTCTCTCTCTCTCTCTCTCTCTCTCTCTCTCCCTCCCCCCCTCCCTCTCTCCCTCTCTCCCTTTCTCTCCTCCCCTCCTTCTCTTTCTCCTCCCTTCCTCCCTCTCTCTTCCTTTCTATCTCTAAAGTCAATTTAAAAACACATATTCCCAGGTGAGGACTAAAAAAAAAAGTACAATGAAGCCTCCAAGGTAATCTTGTAATTTTTTAAAAAAGTTATAACTAGGTACACATCATTATTTTCTGATTTATTATCTCTAAGAAAAGACAGGATGGAAAAGATAGTACAAAGGAAAAACATTTTTAAAAAAATACAAGGCACAACTACTGAATTAAGATCTATAGAAAATAACTCAGCAGGTATTACATGAGAAAAAAGAGAGAAACGCAATCATCTAATTTAATAGAATGTTTAAGAATTAAAATGTAGCCCTGACCGGTTTGGCTCAGTGGATAGAGCGTCAGCCTGCGGACTGAAGGGCCCCAGGTTTCGATTCCAGTAAAGGGCATATACCTTGGTTGCGGTCACATCCCCAGTGGGGGTTGTGCAGGAGGCAGCTGATCGATATTTCTCTCATCGGTTTTTCTAAAACTCTCTATCCCTCTCCCTGCCTCTCTGTAAAAAATCAATAAAATATATATTTTTTAAAGAGAGAGAATGAAAATGTAGCTACAAAGACAGAATATTAGTTTCAACGAGGGTAAAAATAAACAAAAAAATTTGTTTCCCAGAAAAATGTAACAACTAATATTTAAATGTTAATAGCAGACAAAGGCATTGCCTATTTGAGGAATATTGTTAATTTTTACTGAATTGATTAACTAAATCCTATAGAGTAATCTAACTGCCTCATAGTAAAAAATTTATTTTTAAAATCTGAATAGTCCAGTCATAAACACAATCACTACTGAGGGAAGGTGTAAGATTTAATTAAATTCTTTTTAAAAATGGAAAATTTTATTATCAGAAAGTACTCAAAAAAGGTTTATATTTTAACAATATTTTCTCCTAGAATAAAAAATTCTTTATTTTACTTACCCTGTAACCCTCAAGATCTCGCATTTGAATCTGTAGTAAAGAAAGGTCCCTTAAGATTTGAAGATTGTCTTTATCCCATTTTAGCGCATTTCTGTAACACTTAATAGCTTCATCATATTTCTTGTCTGACCTCTGGAGAAGGCCATAAACATGCCAACCTAAAGATTTAGTTAAGGATACAACTAAAGGACTTAGTTAAGTCAAGAGATAGTATTCCAATAATATTCCCCAGGAAACTCAGAGAACTATAGCTATTTATAAAATTACAAGCATTAAATAAAAAGGAGATAATATAAAGATACAACAGTTTAATACAATGGAAAACAGTACCACTTTTCAAACCAGAGCAAACGGGTCTAGCCTGCCTTGTTAGCTCTATGACCTTTGATAAGTTATTTAATCTGGCCATGTTTCCTCAATTATAAAATGTAAATAGAAAGTCTATAAAGTGAAGCATTAGTTTGGTGACTAATTGGAATAACACATATAAAGTGCTCACTGGCTGGCATCAAATGCTCAATAAATATTAGCTAATATTTAAAGAAAAAAGAGGGAATGGGTATCCACAACATACAATTATTTTAAATGATGTATATTTTATTTTCTTTAGCTAACAAGGTCCTCAGGAGAGCACCCTTAGTGCAGAACAAAGTTCCTAAAAATCAACCACATATAAAATAAAGATCTTCATTCCACATATATTAAAATGTCTTAATAATTAGGGTGGTAGATGACCCAAAAGGGCAGTCTCATGCATGCAAAGAACTTAAGAGTCTAATAAGAGACATATATAAGCAAAATTACATGTTGTAAAAAAAAAAAAAATGGAATAAAGGGGGAAAATATGTATTTCCACTATCCTAACACAGGTACTTTTCACTTTAGATCTTAATTACTACGACAATCACCATTCTCCCACCTTCAGTTCTGCTTTTATTCTCTCCTGCCAAAGTAACCTTTCTAACACATACATAATCAAAAGGGAAAAAATCCACTCCCCTTTCTAGAAATTTACAGAAGTTTCTCTTTCAGATCAGGTTCAAAAATTTTAATTTAATAACTTATACAGCAGGGATTCTCAAGAACAGTAAAATATAGAATACCTAGGGTGGCATGTTTAACTAAAAATATATATTTAACATAAAATTTTACTTGAAAAATAATCTTTTCATAATATGAATGACAAAGTAAGGCTTAACAAAATCTTCTGTTGGTTGGAACATGGTTTTGAAAAGCCTAAAACACACTACCCTTTATAATCTGCCCCATTATCTACCTTCTCATTCCTCCCCATTTCAATCACCTCTTGAGCACTGTAACACACCTTTTAACTGCCTCTAATCTTCACCTCCTAAAAATTTACCCTCAAGGAGTCTTATGTCCATCAAGAGGAACCCAATTATATAAACCATGGCAAATAACATACAGAACACTATGCAATTATTAAAAATGATAAAAAGATATCTACAACAATCTGATTAATTAATACTCGCTTACCTTTTTAGTTTCTGGTTATTCCCAACTCACTTTTTTTTTTTTTACTGGAATAGTGATAATTTTTTAACATGCACTAACATTTCATGTAATACTCAGAAATGTTCTGTATATGCTTCTAAATTAATACCCTTTCATTTCTTAATTTGTACTATGCCAAGGGCCTGGTAAACATTTGAAAATCTGCTAAGTGTTTTAGCACTTAAAATTGTGTTTGCCCACAAATTAGGCAAGAAAATATTTGTTTAAAAACTACTTAATAAATAGCAACCCACAATCTTTCCCTGTATCTTCCCTCAGACATTTGTACTTACTGCTACCCTCATATTTCCTTACTAAGATAAAATTTATATAGCATAGTAATTAGCATTATCAGGGACTTTGTTAAGCATCATTAATCTTTACACCACCACAGTGAGTTGGTTCTGATTACCCTCATTTTACGCATGAGGAAACTAAGCCCTAAGATCACAACCAGAAAGAAGCTGAGCTGGGATTCAAACCTAAGTGAAGTATACTCCTAAACCTGTGCTCTTAAACAGTGCACTATATGGCTTCTAATATTCCTTAGTGTACACCCTTCTTTAATTTATGATCATGACAAGGTCTGCAGGGTGCCTTCTTTTTGAAGCATGGGAAGAGTTTTCATAGATACTTTAAAAAGGCAAGTCCATTAATCTGTAAATAGATGCATTAGATTAGAACATGGTAGATATGTAAAAGTGTTCCCTGAATGAAGGCAGTTGCTACTCCTCTGGAGTTACATGGTAAGAAGAATATAAAACTGCTGATTCCCAAACTACTACCTTAGCTCAAGATACCCCAATCCAATCTTTATATATATCTCAAAAAGGATACACACATGACTCTTCAAGTCATTTCTCAAACCTCTACGAACCAATTCATAAGCTTCTTCCTTTTTACCCAAACAGTTCAATGTTAATCCTTTCATAGCCAGAGTTTCTATTAAAAAATAAGAAAAAGTAGGAAAAAGGAATTAAACATTTAAAATAGTTAACAACAAAAAAGATAACCATAACCTCAAAGACAAATGTTACATTACCCTAAGAACTGAAGATTATTAGAAAATTTTCCAGGTTTGCACAGAATTAAAATATTTTAAAAATCAACAAACCAAAGTTAAACCACATTTCTATACTCTAGGCCTCCCTAGATTTATTTTTTTAGATGAAAGGTACAAAATGCATTAATATCTGGAAATTCAGATGCTAACAAGATACAACAGCTCTATTACTATTCTTTAGGGAAGTTCTATAGAATGACCTTATATAATTACTCCTTTAAAGTATGAAAAAACTTTACCGCAAAACAGACTTTACTTCTTTGAACCCAAATTACAGAGGTTAAAATCATTGCTCAATGATTAAAATATACACATAAATTATATACATACACATTTCTGATATGCATAAATTTCATTCTTTTACAATGATTCCTTAGGATATTATTAAATATACAAGTAAAAGAAGATATCAGACTCGTGTCACTCACAATGAACAGATTAAAAGAGGGACCTGAGCCCAAGCCGGTTTGGCTCAGTGGATACAGAGTCAGCCTGCGGACTGAAGTGTCCCAGGTCCTGACCCCAGTAGGGGTGTGTGTGTGGGAGGCAACCAAGGCATGTGTTTCTCTCTGTCTCTTCCCCTTCATTCACTCTCTCTAAAAATCAATGGTAAAATATCCTAAGGTAAGGATTAACAAAAAAATAAAATAGATAAAAGAGGAAGTTGAGGGCAACATTAATTTTTTAGAAAAGGCAAAAAAATATTTTTAATTTTATAATATATATTTTATGATGTACAAAAGAATAAAAATATTCATTATAATGTATTTGTCTAACTTTTAGGACTAAAATTTAGAATTTATAGAAAAATTATGTAGGAATAAAAGATAATATGGTTCAAAGGAAAAAAACATTTATAGGTAAGTACAGATAAAGAAATAAAAGCAAAAAAGAGGGGAGAAATCATGTACTAAATTGTTATAAATCATCCTATATAACAAAAGGCTAATATGCAAATTGCCCAAAAAGTGGAACGACCAGTCGCTATAACATGCACTGACCACCAGGGGGCAGACGCTCAACGCAGGAGCTGCTCTCTGGTGGTCAGTGCGCTCCCACAGAGGAAGCGCTATTCAGCCAGAAGCAGGGCTCATGGCTGGCAAGCGGAGTGGCGGTGGGAGCCTCTCCTGCCTCCGTGGCAGCACTAAGGATGTCCGACTGTTGGGGAGCGGGCCTGTTAGTTGGACATCCCCCAAGGGCTCCCAGACTGCGAGAGGGCTCAGGCCGGGCTGAGAGATCCCCCTCCCACTGAGTGCACAAATTTTGTGCACCGGGCCTCGTGTATAAATGAAAAGAAAGCAAACAAATATATTTGGCACGGTACTGTAAAAAGTAACCCTTTGTTATCAAACAAGTAAAATATATTCTTACATGCTTTACCAAACATCTTTAAGTTCCTTAATTAATGGAACCCCAGGATGCCATTACGTTTAAGACAAACCATCATTTTATGTACTGTTAAAAAATATTTTCCCACCAGAACCGGTTTGGCTCAGTGGATAGAGCGTCGGCCTGCGGACTCAAGGGTCCCGGGTTCGATTCCGGTCAAGGGCATGTACCTTGGTTGCGGGCACATCCCCAGTGGGGGGCGTGCAGGAGGCAGCTGATCAATGTTTCTCTCTCATTGATGTTTCTGGCTCTCTATCGGGCACATCCCCCCCAGTGGGCGTGCAGGAGGCAGCTGATCAATGTTTCTCTCTCATTGATGTTTCTGGCTCTCTATCCCTCTCCCTTCCTCTCTGTAAAAAATCAATAAAATATATAAAAAATATATATATTTTCCATTAGATTACGATCCTTAATGTGCAACCTAATTTCAGATATGTTAAAATATGAGAAACTAGCCCTAGCCAGTTTGGCTCAGTGGATAGAGCGTAAGCCTGTGGACTGAAAGGTCCCAGGTTCAATTCCGGCCAAGGGCACATGCCCAGGTTGTGGGCTCAATCCTCAGTGGGGGGCATAATGGAGGCAGCCAATCAATGATTCTCTCTCATCATTGATGTTTCTATCTCTCTCTCCCTCTCCCTTCCTCTCTGAAATCAATAAAGAAATATATTTAAAAATAAATAAATAAATATGAGAAACTGCACTTTAGAACAATGAACTTTGGTCTCTCCTATACTGAAATTCTATCATTACATTACTAAAGTTATATGACCAGTATTCATACTTTAGAAAAAAATATAAACAACCTAATATCCAGCTGGCCAGCAAAAAATATTTTTAACAACATTAAAAAAGTGTTAGCCCTAGCTGGTTTGGCTCAGTGGACAGAGCATCGTCCTGCGGACCCAAGGGTCCCCGGGTTTGATTCCGGTCAAGAGCACGTGCCTTCGTTGCAGGCTCCTCCTGGGCCCGGACCCTGGTCAGAGCGCATGCAGGAGGCAACCAATTGATGTGTTTCTCTCACATTGATGTTTCTCTCTGTATTCCCTCTCTCTAAAATCAATGGAAAAATATTCTTGGGTGAGGATTAAAAAAAAAGAAAAGAAAATCAGTGCTATTGTTTTAATAAAGTAAAGCTAATAGAAAACTATTACTCCTCCAATAGTGAGAACACTATCAAATTAACTACCAAAGAGCCATGTTTCCTAACTATACAACTCTGACCTATGCTTATTTTTCCCTTGCCTCATCACAAGTTTAGCTAAACACTCTTCCCTTACTCTACAAACATCTCACTGCCCAATCTTCTACCCTCACATAGGCAAAAGCTAAAAGGCAAAAAAATTTTCAGAAGATTACAATATACAAATCATGCATTAAATATGACTGTTTGAAAAAACTAATTAAGATATAATGCTAAATAAAAAGACGCTGGGACCAAATGGGCACTTTCTGAGTAAGTTATTATAAGGAATAAAATTCCCCAGCTCAAAATTCTAAAGCAAATTTTTCTTTTAACATCTTAAATAAATTTACTGATTCAACTTAAATAAGCATATTTATTCTACTAGGTGCTTCTGCCTCCCCTCCATGCTTAGTCTTAAAATAGGTATGTCAGAACTCAAGTAAAATGTGTGTATCATTTTCTTGACACTAAATTCAAAAAACAGACGTCAAGGATAAGAAAGTCCATTCTCTCTGGAAATTATTTAAGGCATTAGGAAGTGATAGAACCCAAATAAATGAAGCCAGACAAGTAAGTAAAGCCTTATCTATTCATACTCACAAGTAAGTATATGGTATTTACACTTACCTCCATGCTCTGCAAATTTGGGATTAGAGAGGATTTGTTTACAGAATTTCAACCCATTTCTATACTGTTTATGCTCATAACATCTCTGTTAAAAAAAAAAAATTAAGTTTAGCAAGAAATGCAAAAAGTTTAAATTCGATGCTAAATTTTTTATTCTGTTACACACAATAGGATAATCAAAGATTATTTCCATATTCTTTTAAATCCCAGTAAAAAAATACAGAAGGTTCAAATACAGAAAATAAAACAAAAGGACAGAATATAGATTAAAAAAAAAGGGGGATAGTTAATGCAAAAGATGACAAAATGATAGAATATGTAGTAACTTTTTACATGTAGCATCAAGAAACCAATTGCCTACAGCTCAATACTACAGCCAACTATAGAGTTGTTCTATACCAACTATGTACTCACCATATTATTTGTTGTTTCACATCTCAACTTAATATATCCAAAACACAACTGATTTCACCCCAAAATCTATTTTTCACCAAGTCTTTTCCATCTCAGTACATATCTTCCCCTCAATTCATCCAACCAGATGACGATGAAAAAAACCTAATTATCCTTGGTCCTTTCTTTCCCTCATACTTCCATCCTCTAATAAAGGAGTGGGAAAATTTTTTTTCTGTCAAGGGCCATTTGGATATTTATAACATCATTCATGGGCCATACAAAATTATCAACTTAAAAATTAGCCTGCTATATTTGGTCAAACATTTAATTATCTCACCCCTAATTCCTTGGCAGGGCCAGACCAAATGAATCCACAGGCCAGAGGTTCCCCACCCCTGATCTAGTAGGTCCATCAGTCCCAGTTTCCCTGCAATTGCTTCCTAACTCTCTGCCCCTCCCACAATCAACTCAGCACTCAGCAGGCTGAATGACCTGGGGGATAAGAGGAAGGGGAAAACAAAAACTATAACTTGGGAGTTACTACCAAATGTATGTAATCAAAGAAACACAAGACTAAGCAACTAAACTTAGTGTTCCTATTTACTTAACAGAAAGCTTAAAAATAACGTTTTTCATGGAACTCCCATTCGACCCACTGATCCCACTTCTAGGAATATATCCCAAGAAGCCAGAAACACCAATCAGAAAGGATATATGCACCCCTATGTTCATAGCAGCTCAATTCACCATAGCTACTAAGATTTGGAAACAGCCTAAGCGCCCATCAGCAGATGAGTGGATTAAAAAACTGTGGTACATCTACACAATGGAATACTATGCTGCGGTTAAAAAGGAGTTCTTACCATTTGCAACAGCATGGATGGAACTGGAGAGCATTATGCTAAGTGAAATAAGCCAGTCAGAGAAAGGTAAATACCACATGATCTCACTCATTTGTGGAATATAGAGAACAACACAGACTGATGAACAGGGACAGAGCCAAAGACAGAGAAACAGCGATCAGACTATCAATCCCCAGAGGGAAAGTAGGGAAGGGTGGGGGTAAGGGGAAGAGATCAACTAAAGGACTTGTATGCATGCATGGGGATGAGGACACATTTGTAATACCTTAACCAATAAAGAAATTAAAGATTAAAAAAATTGGAAAAAAATAACGTTTTTATATCTATAAAAGCCTAAGTGACTGGTGACTGACCGACCAGTCGCTACAACGCACACTGACCACCAGGGAGAAGATGCTCAATGCAGGAGCTGCCCCCTGGTGTTCAGTGCGCTCCCACAGTGGGAGCGCCGGGCTCAGCTAATGGATGAGTGTCAGACGCAGGGCTCATGGCTGGCAAGCACCGCTGTGGCGGTGCAAGCCTCTCCCAATTGGGACTGACTAGGTGTGAGCCCGGGGCAGGCACAGCGGGGCTGGGATGAGCGGGAGTGGCAGGCGGCATTGGACTGCCGGTTTCGGCCAGATCCCTGCAGGCCATGCCGAGGGACCCCACCAGTGCACAAATCCATGAACCAGGCCTCTGGTATAATTATAACAATAACAGTAAAAACTATTAAAGGAAGCTATGATATTGTAAAAACTAGGCTAGATAAAAGGGTTGCTTCATTTGTCACCGTTTTCCAGGAAAAACATACATACAGCACACAGTTTAAGTGCACTACTCTTAAAACCCTCAATTAGCTTTCTGAAAACTTATTTCTGTAAAAATGTATTAAGAGAACTACCACTTTTGGCCGTGATGGGTGAGGCTGAACTTCCCTTCTCCAACAAAAAAAACTGGACAAAATAAATAGCCTAAGCGACCATTTGACCAGTAGCTATATGACATGCACTGACCACCAGGGACAGAGGCTCAACGCACAGGCATGGAAACATGGAACAGACTGATGAATCTCAGAGGGAAGGGGGGAGGGCAGAGGGCAGAAAGAGATTAACCAAAGATCTTATATGCATAATAGAGGCCCAGTGCATAGATTCATGCACTGGTGGGGTCCCTCGGCCTGGCCTGCAGGGATTGGGCTAAAACCAACAGTCAGACATCCCCCAAGGGGTCCCAGATTGCGAGAGGGCGCAGGTCTGGCCGAGGGACACCACCGGTGCACAAATTAGTGCACTGGGCCTCTAGTATGAAATAACTGTTGTCAGACACTGAACAACAGGCAGGGCTGGATTGTGAACCACATGAGATGGGGGAATAAAATCATGACGAGGCCCTAACCAGTTTGGCTCAGTGGATAGAGCATCAGCCTGCGGACTCAAGGGTCCCAGGTTCGATTCCAGTCAAGGGCATGTACCTTGGTTGCGGGCACATCCCCAGGAGGCAGCTGATCAATGTTTCTCTCTCATCGATGTTTCTAACTCTCTATCCCTCTCCCTTCCTTTCTGTAAAAATTCAATAAAATATATTAAAATAAAAATGTTTTTTTAAAAAATCATGATGAGCTTAGAAATGCCACTGCTTTATAGATCACAGCACAAGAATAATCCCAAGCAGAGCACGACAGTCCACAAAGTTGAAGAGACAAAGATTGAACTCCAACAACATCTGCAAAAAACAATGGAATTATTCAGAGGAAGAGATCCAACAATTTGCAAATTACTGAATAACTAGAGGCCCGGTGCATGAAAATTCATGCACTGGAGGGGGGACCCTCAGCCCAGCCTGCCCCCTCTCACAGTCCAGGAGCCCTCAGGGGCAGGAGGTGACCCGGCGATCAGGGGAAGGGGACGCCCCCATCACAACTCTGCTGCTGCCGCTGCCAGCAGCAGAAGCCTCAGCAGGCCCCAGTTACCTGAGCCTCGAGCAGCCCTGGGCAACTGGGCAGCCACCATCCAAGGCTTGCCTACAACTCTGGGCCAGCCCTGGGCGGCTGGGAAGCCGCCATCCAAGGCTTGCCTGCACCTCGGGACAGCCCTGGGCAGCTGGGGAGCTGAGGGGACTGGGCGCTGCCATCTTTGAGGGTGTGACAGTCAATTAGCATATTCCCTCCTTATTGACTGTGGGCGCTGCCATCTTTAAGGGCGGGCGGTCAATTAGCGTATTCCCTCGTTATTGGCTATGGGCACGGCCATCTTTGAGGGCAGGGAAGTTAATTAGCATATTCCCTCCTTACTGGCTGTGGGTGCCGCCATCTTTGCAATGGCGTTAGGGTCAATTAGCATATTCCCTCTTTATTAGATAGGATAAGTCTTGCATATGTAGGGTGAAACTTCATAAAGCCAAACAAAGCAGTAAGTTCAACAATTCTTAGAACTCACATGGTACTGAGAGTTCCAAGTAGCCAGAATAGAGCTTCAATAAACAGCTAAATATTGTGGAAAAGTCTACTCAGTAATAAGACAAAAACTAACCCTGGAATAAGTATACTCTAGAGACCCACCCTAACAAAGCCACAGACTGATGTATAAGTTCCTTCACTGCCTGCTATAACCAAGTCTAACACTCTTTATTTTTTTTAAATATATTTTATTGATTTTTTACAGAGAGGAAGGGAGAGAGATAGAGAGTTAGAAACATCGATGAGAGAGAAACATCAATCAGCTGCCTCCTGCACACCTCCTACTGGGGATGTGCCTGCAACCCAGGTACATGCCCTTGACCGGAATAGACCTGGGACCTTTCAGTCCGCAGGCCGATGCTCTATCCACTGAGCCAAACCGGTTTCGGCTCTAACACTCTTTAAATACAGTTAAATCCAACAAAAACAATGTAAAATTCATAATGCCCAACACCCAATAAAAAAATGAGTACATTAGCTAAGAAACAGGAAAACATGACTCATAACCAGGAGAAATAAAAGAGAGAAATGATGGAGCTATGAGATGAGAATAACAAAACATCTATTATAAATGTGCTCATGAATTTAAAAATATAAACTGCCCTAGCTGGTTTGGCTCAGTGGATAGAGCGTCAGCCTGCAGAGCATCGGCCTGCAGACTGAAGGGTCCTGGGTTCGATTCCAGTCAAGGGCACATGCCTGGGTTGTGGGCTCGATCCCCAGTAGGGGCATGCAGGAGGCAGCCAATCAATGATTCTCTCTCATCACTGTTGTTTCTCTCTCTCTCTCCCTCTCCCTTCCTCTCTGAAATCAATGAAAAATATTAAAAAATAGATATATATAAACATATTGCCCAGCCAGTGTGGCTCAGTGGTTGAGTGTGTCGACCTATGAACCAGGAGATCCCTGTTAAATTCCGAGTCAGGGCACATGCCTGGGTTGTGAGTTCCGTCCCCAGTAGGGCGAATGCAGGAGGCAGCTAACCAACGATTCTCTCTCATCATTAATGTTGCTATCTCTTCCTCTCCTTTCCTCTCTGAAATCAGTAAAAATATAATGCAGAACCAAAGAGTACTTCTACAGATGAAAAATACAATTATGTACAATGAAAACTTCATCAGATAAAATTAAAACAACTATGGCATCGAAGAAAAGATCAGTAAAATGGAAGACACACAGAAATAGAAACTAGCCAAACTGAAGAATTAAGAGAAAAAATAAATACTGGTAAGCAGAGTCACAGTGACTCTACAATAGAAAACTAAATTATAAAAGCATCACAGATCTAAATATGAGAGGTAAATAATAAAGTTTCTAAAAGAAAATGTTTTTTAAATATCTTCATTATGTTGGGTAGATAGAATCTCTTAAACAGGAAATATAAAAATC